CTTGGGCACTGCCAGGCCATTATGGGGCTAGTAACAGAGCCGACATGCCCACTCTGAACACAACGGCGGAGGAGGTTGTTTGCTCTCCTGCAGTCGCAGCGCACCTGCCTCTGGAGTCACAGCGAGGAGTCTGACCCCCGGGGGCAAGCCAGAGGGGACATCTGCTCCCCACCTCCAAGCCCTCTGCTGTCACTGCATCCTCAAGCCCAGCTTTCTGGGAGTTACTGTAGCAACACAATCACTCCCAGGCAGACGTAGGAGTCCATCTCCTTACCAAAGCATCCGAGGGCTTGTGGTCTTCCCTGGATGCATCCTTCAAATGACCTTGAGAGGCCACACAGTGAAACTGAGGCACAGCGATCCACCCAAGGTCACACAGGGAAGCTGTAGCAGAGCAGGGACGTGAACCCATGCCTCCCAAGTCCCATGCTGATGCTCTGACCGCTGGGCCATCCAACCTCAGAGGCTCATTTTGGGCCTACACGTGCATTTTGCTCTCTGTAAAAATGGCAATAAGGAGTTTACAACTCAGATGATGCTGTGGTTTATTCTTCTAGAGACCTGCATTTGCCAGCGCTAGCAGCCAGCCAAAGCACAGCCTTCTGAAACCAAATGTATGAGCACAGCATGAGGTCAAAGCAACCCCTGAAAGAAAGGACCTCATCCTATCGGAAGAGTCGATTTTTTTTCCCTTCATCTGTTCCCTTTTCTGCCTCGTTTGGCGATTGGTTTTCTGCTCTGCCCAGCCACGCGGGATAATCGACATGGGGAACGGGCACTGGAGCCGGGCTCCCTCCCATAGCTTTGTCTCCTGGGCGCATCGTTAGTGGCAGTGGTGGTCTATATTTAGTGCAGAGAGGCCAGCTCGTGAAGGAGCACTGCTGGTGCTTTTCATCAGAAAAAGCACACCGGCACCTCGCTGCTCCACAGGGGGAAGCTCTGCATTCGAACCCACATTGCAGCACACAGGGCCAGGCAGGGACTGTGCCAGTCTGCAAGCTTCAGAGGGCAAATGTGGTGCTGCGCACTGGGCATCTGTCTGCAGTTGTCTGCTAGCTCCTGCCCTGGCATCGTCAGCCCACCTAGCTCCCGCAGTCAAAGAACATTGTACCCAACAGCCGGCCAAGGTGTGACATGGCCAGCCACCTTTCAGTCCTCAGCTTGAACAGCCAGGTCCCATTTACAGCTGCGTTGACGTAAGGGCAGCCGTTGGCCTGAGTACGGAGCAGGGCGGGAACACAGTAGCAAGGCCCCTTAGCAGCTCTGGCAAGGAGAAGGCTACAGAGGTTTCATTAGCATTGCTGGACAAGCTGTTTTAGAAGACACACAGCACAGCAAGGGAGAAGAGCATGAACTAACAGTGTACAAACTTCAGGGACAGCAAGAAGCGTTCAAGGGAACATGCACTGGAGGATGGGGCATGCTCCTAGAAGGATGCAAGTGTCTCTTCTCATCTGGAAAGGATACGCCACCCATCAGACTATCGTACTACAGGCTGCCCTGGGAACAGGGGGGCATTTGTCTGCAGTTTCCTGCCACCTCTCCCCTGGCATCAACACCAGGGGCTGTACCAACGCACAGCAGACATGCTCCCCAGCATGGGAAATGATGCTCAGTCAGGGGAGATCTTTCCATGAGAGTGAGTGGGGAGAGCAGCACCCCACTGCTTTCCTCCAAGCGAATGGCTCCTCCTATTACCCTTCTCCCAATTCAATCTCTCTTCAAAAGCTGGCCAGCAAATCTTTTATGCACGTCCCTCTGCCACCCTCCAATTTTGATGCTTTTATCCTCTTCTGTTAAGTCTAAGCAGAAGTGGAGTGGGCACCACCTACCTGGTTTGGCGTGCTCTTGGCCTTCCCACCTCTCAGCTCGTCTCCGCTGCAGAGTTAACTTTAATTTCAACTTCTGATCTGGCCCTGGTCACACCCAAAATCCCTTCACTCAAGAGCAGTGGTGCTTTTAACTCAAGTCAGCCAGTCCAGGAGGCAGCTCATGTTGAGCCAGCTCAGCCTGTCTGCTGCTCACACATCTGCTCCCAAGTGTGGACAAAGGCTAGTGTCACCTGAGCCCAACCCGGCTTCCACCCCTGTCCTCATGCTCTCCCCATGAGCCCAGAAGGGACAGATTCCTCCACCCACAAGTCGCTTGGAAAGCATCTGGAGAATGGCCTGGCTTTCTGCAACACTAAGAGTTATGGGACAAGCTCCCAGCTTGCATAGAGCTCCATGCAGCACTGGCGCAGACCACCACCTCGAGTGTTATTATGCCACATGGCTGCTTTGATCCAAGCTAGGCTAATGCAAGAGGTATATCACTGCCTTCCCTATTCAGTGAAGAGGTATCTGCATGTCCCAGACTCCCCTCTTCAGGAGCAATCTTACTGCCACCTTCTCCCTAAAGTGGCTACTTCCCCAAAGAGCCTCTGACGCCAGACAGACAATCATGGACCCTGCTGCAATCTCCATCCGTCCTGTTCACCAGCACAGGTTATGCCACGATCAGGAAAGGCCCTCCCAGGAGAGCTGCATACAGCAGACACCACTTTTTGTACCTCACTCCTAGGTGACCAGGGAGAGAGTAGCAGACAGTCTGCATTTACTAAATAGCTACCTGGGATGGACGTGGACAGGCAACACCTAAACCAGTATAACTTCTATGTGTGGAGTTTTACCTCTGATCCCTTTCAGGGTACTTCTCCACAGGATTGGGCAAAGGTATCCCAGGGTAGGGCTCTGCATGGCCTATGCATTCCTTTTCGACAGTGCTATTATGCCGATTGCATCAGTTTAAACATGCCATCTGTCCAGGCTTTGGAAGCCAGGTTGCATCTGATCAGTGGAAGCTCAAATGAATATTCTGGGAAATAAAGCCTTAAACTGAAAGCTAAAGTCGTAAGAGATGAGAGGAGTTCTGGGCAACTGAGCACCTAATGAATGGCCTTGTGTTTCTTAATGCTCCTGGCCTGAGTGTTTCTGTAGGGCTGCCATCATTAGGGTACCCCACAATTCTGTCTGCACTTCAGCTTCCCTGAGACTGGCCTTTTTGTGTTGAGCCGAGCTCTTTAAAGGGAAAGTTGAATTTATATTTGCACGTGGAAATACCATCTGCCAGTGATTTCTCCCCAAGCTGCTGGTAAAGGAGGTTTCCAAGTCTTGGCAGCACCCTGCTGAGTCAAACAGCTCCCTGAGGCCGGAAATAAGAGGCAATGGCTTAAAGCAGAAAGAATACCTTTGACTTAGAAATCTGCATTTGCTCCTGTATCTCGAGAGCCACAGAGAGAACGCTGTACCGGCATTTGCTCAAGGAGATGATTTGCTCTGGAAAGTTAAGAAACGCTTTCTCCCCTGCCAGCAAGCAAGCGAGGCTTGCCACCCTCCCAGTGCCTGCTCCTTTCCCTCGCTGTCTCTAGCCACCCCGCTCCTTCCTCCACCCCCTCCTTTCTGAGACATAGTATTTCTTATTCCAAAAAGTTGTCAGGCCAAGTGTGATTTGCAGTGGAGCCGTTGTGAGCAATGCCCAGAATTTCAATCAAAAGGCAAGCATTCACTGTGTCAGCAGCCTGCTGGCTCTGGCTGTACCGCACCCCTGCCAGCTTTTCGAAGACACAGCAGCTGTGTCAAGCTAGGAGAGAAGCTGTGGCTCTTTGGGTTCAAATGTTATTCTGCAAGCTCACACGGGAATCAATGTATGATCCTCTGGGCCCTATTCAGTCACGCTCCTCTTCTTTTCAAAGAGATCGGATGTTGGTGGCTGGCCCCTGGCTTGGAAACGTCTGTCAGCCTTAGCCGAGGCGGGCTTGAGGAAGGGGCGGCTGGCTCCCAGCGCAGAGATCCCCAAAGGCAAATATATCTGCATCTCAATTCTTATAAAATCATGAAAATGAGGGTTGGAAGAGACCTCAGGAGTCGCATCTAGCCCAACCCCCTGCTCAAAGCAGGACCAGCCCCAACTAGGTCATCCCAACCAAGGCTTTGCCTAGCCGGGTCTTAAAAACTTCCAAGGACAAAGATTGCACCGCCTCTCTGAGTGACCCATTCCAGTGCTTCACCACCCTCCTAGTGACAGAGTTTTTCCTAATATCCAACCTATACTTCCCTTGTTGCAGCTTGAGACCATTGCTTCTTATTCTGTCATCTGCCAGAGGAGGAGCTGATTCCACTCAATTAATGGAAGAAATGGTGCTCACTCCCTATCTCTTCTCTCAACACAACAGGGATGCCTCTCCTTCCTTTCCTTTCCAGCATGTGTTGCTCAGTAGTGAATATATAGAGTGATCATTAGGCTCCAGAGTCAACACCCCACTCACAGCCAGGGGGGCAATCACATCTAGAAAAGCTATTCTTTCAGGCTACCTGGATTCCCAGGCAGATACTACTACAGATTTACACCCAGTACGCTATCTTTGCTATGATCAAACTTAGAATTTATACCAGGAAAATAATGGAGGCATACAGGGTAGGGAAGGTACAGGAACACCCACAATCTAACCCTAGCTCTAGCCGAAACTGGGCACTTTGGGTTTGTAGATAAAGAGGCTATTTAATGATTAAGTTCACACAGAGACTGCTTGGCAGTATCTACATGTTTTCTCCCAATACTAGAAGCTGAAAGCATGGCTCTTACGGCCTTTGCTGCTTGAAGATCTGTTCTCTGCCAAAAAAATCAAATGCATTTCAGCATCACATTCCCCTTTCCTTATCTCAGACACTGTCAGGTACAGGAAGAAACATCCAGACCCCTGATCAATTACATCCATGCTGGACACCTCACACCAACCTCTGGCTGGGTCATTCAACAAGAACAAGCTCAAAAACATAACACCCAAAATCCTGGTGCTGGTAAAACACACCCGACCGACTGCACTGGCAAAGCTCACTCCTAGAGATGCAGATTTTAATGCCACAAAGGACTACTGTAATCACCTCGGCTGACCTCCTTCATAATACAGGCTGTAAGATGTCACTGAGGTGCTCATGCACTGGCCCGTGCCTTTTAGTTACCTGGAGTCGCTCTCTGTGGAAGCCACCTGTTCTTGATCCAAGCGATGGAGATTCCTTGATTCAAGTGACCTGGTCCTAGGTAAGCTGTTGATCTGTTAAAAAAAAAAAAGCACCTTATTTCTCGTTCAAACGGGCCAACATAAGCTTCCAACCATTCCTACTCTGTACAGCACAGGTGGGGACAGCAGACTTCCCCATCCTATTCTGAATAGGATTTGTATGGGTTTCAGGGCAACGGAGAAGCACAAAAAATATACAAGGCAATGGGGATTTCTGGGTGGAAGGCAGCCCCCGTGTTTGACCTACAAGGCCAAATCACCTCCAGGCATCAGTGCGGGACTCTTGGCACAAAATACCAAATTGAACTGATTCAACAGAGAAAGCAGTGAATACTGGCCATTCCCACGAACAAGAGATGGGTGCCCATGTCCGTGGCAGCTGGAGGAGTGGCAGAAAGGCTTAACCCCCATGCCTCCATGGTCCTGACCCTTTCTGAGATACCCATGAACATGTCACGTGCAAGATGCAGGGCTCTCATGAAGCTGCCAGCTCGGCTCACGCCAACCACTGAAACGGCATTTCAGAGCCGTGCGTGCCCCTCCTGGCCTGGTTCTTATATTCTGCACATCACCAGGAATATTCGGTGCCTTCTGGGGTTATGAATAAATAACTAAGCCTTGTGACTACTGATGTGGGCTGCAAGAAGCTGGTAATCTCCAATCTCTCCTCCCCATCATCTTGCCTGAGTGATAATATGAGGTGGTCCAGATCTGGAGTACTAATAGCTCCTCAGATTCATTAGGCATGAAGAGATGTCCCTATGATGTTTCGTGAGATGACAGCACGGGTCCCCCTTTCCATTCTTCACCCCAGTGTGTCCCAGCCAGCATAAGGCAGAACTCCCTTTCACCCCACCTGTGCCTTGTTTCTCAGGGGCCATCCCTACCTCACTCCTTTCCTAGTACAACCTGCTGCTGCGCCGCCCGAGCTTGCAGCACTTTGCCTGCATCCTGCCTGGGCAGGAATGATGCTGCACACAACTGCACCTGTTCTGCCAATGCCCAGAGCTGCTCGTGCCTATTCAGAAGTGGGAAGTGGGCTTAGAAGCTAATGCGAGGCAGCCCAGCCGGTGGGTCCTGCATTCCTCCATGGCAGCGAGGAAGTGGGAACAAGGGGAAGAGACACTTTGGGGCAGAAAGCCACCCCCTGAAGCCGACCGTGATGTCTCAGGCAGCATCCACCACTGGCTGGATCAGACCTTTGCAGGCTGGATCTGACACTTCATGGACCAGATCTGGCCGGCACACTGTAGGGTTGCTGACCCCTAAGCTATCCACGACCCAAGAGCAACCCATGACAAGTGACAGTGCTGGATGCTCACTGCCGAAGTTGCAAATAAAGACTTTTTTTTCCGACTATCTAGTTGGTTTAATAAAAGATATTGCCTCTACCACACTCACTACTTCAGAAGTGACGAAGACAACGCAATCCAGATCCTCTCTGACTCCCTCCGGAGAAAGCTCGGCTGCAATGTCTGGGGCAGATTGGGCTTTTCAGAGAGGTTTAATGTTTTGCTTGCTGCGGGGTTGAAACTTGGGGCGAAAAAGCAACAGGTTTTTCCTCCATCTGTTAAATCATGGTGTGTTTTGGTGCTAGCGTGGTCAGATGGAGCGTTGAGGAGTGAGTTGGGAAACTTAAGATCTTGCTCTTTTCTTATCTGTTCTCCCCTCCTAAAGCCCCTCTAGAAATCATAGAAATACATATGCTCATTCCAAAGGTGCCAACACATCTAGTTCATGTGCAACAATTGGGGAGGGATGGGGAAGAGAGAGACGTCTCCCAGCCGCTGGTTTTGAGTGCTAAACCTCTCCCCCGCCACACATGCGGTAGAGCTGGCAACACTTTCAAAGCTTTGAATATTGCATTTTGAAGTTTGGGGGGGAAGTTTCAAAGCCATTTATACACTGCCCCCACTCTTCTCCCTCAGCAGTCGTACCACACTGCTCCATTCCTCTTTCCTCTCCCGTGACGGAAAAAAGCTCTCGTTAGTTTTGATGTGCAAGGTCTGTGCCTTGCTAACGAAGGCCCAGGTCCATACTCGTTTGTACTGCGGGAGCACCCAGGTGAGGCTGCATGCTCCACACATGCCTGGAGAAAATGATTCAAGGCTCTACCCCTTGATGACACGTTTGGGGTCTATTTTATTTGGCTCTGGCTGCCTCAGGGCTCTACTTTCAAGGGATAGAAACATCCCTCTTTTTTTTTTAAGCCAAGTTCTCCTCCTCCCTCCCTTCCAAAGCTGATTTTGCGAGGGACTTAGCAGGGTCTCTGTGCACAGGTGAAGAGGGGGAGTGCCGCCGAACCCTCCACCATATTACAGCGGCAACAGGGGTGGGAGAAAAAAAGCCCTCGCTGTCCCCAGTTATAAGTGCCTCTCCTCTTTCTCATGGCCCTCCTTATTAGCCCATGTTTTGGGCAGCACAGTGAAACATATACCACTCCCAGAAGTGCATGCTTACACAGAGATGCATGACAGAGCCCAAAGGGCTGTCCGAGAATCAGCCCAGGGAGAAGAGTCAGTCGTATCCCTGCCTCCCTCTTCCTTGGCAGCTCAGACAGAGAAAAATTGGTGTGTTGCCTAGCTACATCTGTGCAGGCAGGCTCAGGAGAGGAGATCTCATCTCTGACCAGACTTGGGGAGTGTTGAAGTGCCCGACTCCCCTCATCGAGGGGCCATATGGGTTTGCAGAGGCTCACGGCTGCTCTTGTGCCCAGCCTAGAGATGGTGCCTGCGTAGGCACCTGGTCACAGGATCCCTGGGGAACGTGTTATGGGTGTTCCTGTCTAAGCCCCTATCTAGTGATGCCGCTGGAGGTCGTAGCCAAACTGGCCTTGACCTTCACTGCTCTTGAGCTAGCAGCGATAGGGGCTTCAGCATGGGCTGCACAGGCCCATGTGGGAGCTGGGATAGACCAGCCTGCTCATGGGCAGATCTAGGATTTTGAAAAGGGGGGCACACATGGAGAGGGGCATCGTCACGTATAACATACCACACATTTTTCTCTGGGTAAAACGAACTTAGAAGCTTTACTAAAATGCCAGGGGCCAGGGGCCTGGGGCTGTATTTTAAGACTAATGCAAGAACAAATATCACTTGACTGGAATAAGTGAAAAACCATCTGCAAGGCTGGGAGATAGGCCTATTTGAAAGCTGAGGCTGGGGGCCTAGCCCACCAAGTGCATCGTGGCTGCTACTAGTGGGCAGTGGTAGTATCCTCGGCTAACAACTGATTACGGGGGACAAATAATGGAAAAGCAGGGTATGCTCATGAAGGTCATAGGGCCAGAACAGGCTGGGAGATAGCAGCTTCAATGCCAGGAGCAACGGGCAGTCAGCAGAATGGCAGAAGTAAGGCTAGCTTGATTAATGGACCAGCAAGGCCATTAAAAAGGAGAGGGGGTGGTGAACACCCATGGAAAGAATCGGGTAGATGATAATGAGCTATGAAGTCAAGTGACTCCTTCACTGCTGCCTGAATAGAAATGCTGCTGCCACTACCAGGCAGCTAGTTTTAACTTTTGAGTGGAGCAAGAACCCAAGCGGGGATGCATGTGTGCCAGTGCACACCCCCGAACCTGCTGCAGACACTGCTCATCCCACACAGACCACCTCTCCTCCACACCGAAGCTGGGCAAGGTCCTGCCCTGATCACTCCCGGGGAGTCCAGCAGCCGGCTTTCTGCAGGGGTCCAAGGCGAAGACCGCGGCAGTACGAGACAGCTGTGTAATGGCTAGCAGCCGGCTCAGCAGGTGGTCACTAGAAGAGGATGCTCACCCTGCTCTCAGCAGGATGAAGGGCCCTGTCCCGTGCGGCTCCAAGCTCAGTGGGGTCGAAAGGCTGCGACATGCATTGATACCCAACATGCGAGAAAAATTCCAGGGGAAGTCCCAAGACTTGAGGCATTTAAGCCACTTTGCTCTAAAGCATGGAAAGCTGTGTCAGGCCCCCGTCAGCAAGTCTTCTCACATCAGTACTTTCCCTTTTTCTCTCCACTTGGCTCCTGAGGGCTATGAGAAACAAGTCCTTCCCCCCACTCAGGGTCCCTCCAGCTCCTCATCCCAGTGCCTTTATTCAGCAGCCCCACGTCTCCCACTTTCCCCTGCCTCTTCACCACAGCTGTCTCCCCATAGCGCCTTTCCCCTCTCCACCCTCTTCCTCCTGCCCCACTGGTTCTCAGCCTCCATCTGAGCTCAATGTCTTCAGTGTCCGCTAGCTCCTGTTTCTTCTGTCTGTAGCCTCCTTGCCCCTCCA